GTCCCTGTCTCTTGGCTTTTATATGCTAGAGGTTGTGCTCGTTCAACAGAGACAGGGAGGTGGCTCCTTCCAACCTCCTCTAACTTCCTGAGAGGGAGACAGAATCACCATTAGTGGCCCAAGGCTGACTATTAGAATCCACACTTACTGACACCCTCCAGGTTTTTTTTTTTTTTTTTTTATAAACCAATTCTGATAGCAACTGTCTCTCCCATGGCACTCTCTACTTCTCTGCGGAGTTTGATAATTCATTGCAGTGGCCACACAGAACTCACAGATAATACTCACGATTATGGGGATTATTAGAGAAGTAATAGGTTACAATTTGGGTTCAGGGACGCTCAGGATGCAATTCTTCAATCAGGACAGCCTTCCCTCAGCAATGCTCCACGGCATGCCTCTCTGTGGCCCTTAGCCTCTTGGCCTAGCCTCTGCCACATTTGGGCAAGTGTTACACAGCTATTTTAGCTCTGCCGATAGATGATCCTAAGTACACCCCTCTCTGCCATCAAGCCACTTGCCCCAAAGCACCCAGCTTCCTTGTTCCATGGGCCAGCAAGCCCACCCCTCTGCTTGTGCCAGTCTCTCAGTTCTCAGACCAGTCTCTCTGCTGACTCTCTGCCAAGGAGGTCCAACACAGGGATCCCAGATCCAAGGATGCACTCTACTCCACCTCTGGCCCTTCTCTCTTGATGGCAGTGAGCTCTACACCCTCTTTAGCCTCTGGGCGGGCTCAGTTCAAGCCTAGCCGAATGACAAAACTAACCAATCCCAACATCTGGGTTCCATGCACCTTATTTCCATGGTCCCTCCCTGACAGGGGTGCTATGTACCTTGTTTGCGTTACTAACAAGCTATGCAATCCCCTTTGTGGGCCGCAAGTACCTTACATTGGCATAGTTCCGCCTAGTAATCTGTTGGGAGTCAAAAAGACCATGGCTAGAAGAACTATCCCAAGTACTCCACTGCACCACAGACCACGCCCTGGCTCTGCTAGCCATTGTCCCTTTCATACTTCAAAGATTAACATCCCCTCACAATTAGGTTAAGTATAAATATTCCCATGAAAGTATGTAAGCCAGCCACCAGCCTTCTGGTTAGTAGTCAAATGCCTTAGGCACTATGCCATCTCCCCCCATTTTCGATACCCAATTTCTAAATTTCCCATCCCTACCAAACCAGTACACTGAGGACACAAACATGTTCCTTTCTCTGAAGAATCTCCTGTTCTGCTTGGAAGTTTGAGAATCTGCATCCATAAACAGTATATAACCAGAGCAGATCATCAAATTACACCAGTTCACATCAGTGTCAAACATCTTCCTGTTCATTTGATTTGTTATTGCAGTGAGCAGGGGTCCTTCCCTTCTACTGACAAAGAATTGTACAGGACAGGCAAAGTGTCCACACTAACCAAAATTAATTAAAGAGA